ATCATCCCAGCTCCTCTCTGCTGTAGGCAGGGTTCTGAGTGACAATCTTGGGTCAAATCCAGAATCTTGAAGACCAGCAGCCATGATGCTGGTGAATTCCGCATCGTCGCCAAAGCCGCCCGGCATAGTCGGATTACGCCCGCTAGGACTGGGGCTGCGGGGCTTAGGTCCAGGGATGGGAGGGGCATCGGCATCATCCCAGGAAGGTCGCGCATCGACAACCTCGTACGTTCGTGATCGAGACGAGTCATCCCAGCCGCGGCCTCTGTCGTCGCCGTTCCTCGAGGGTTTTCCGTCGGAACTCGCTGCCACGCTGCCGGCGACAGCCGCGGCAACAACCCCCCAGCCAGTGGTGGTGCTGATGCGGGAGCCCCCTTTTTTCTCAGGCGGCTCAGGGCTCTCAACCTCGAAGCGTTTGGTTTCGTTCTCACCCCAGGTGACAGATTTTGGAGTAGATGGTGTCTGGATGATCTCTCCGCGAGGTCCGATAATGATGTCCGGCGGCGTAGACCTTGTCTCACTGGACTGACTTTGCTGCTTATCAGCCTCTCTCGGGGCGGCCCTACTCTGCGTCTCGGGATTCGGGGTGGGACTTGGCGTGACATGAGGTGTGGGGAGAACGAGGTTGAGCAAGGGGCGATCTCGCTCGCAAGACGGATCGCGGGACTTCCAGACAGTTGCTGTGTCGACGTACAGTTCGTCAGCTGGCACACGGAACCGTGAAAGCTCATTGGGCTTGATGACATGGTCGATGCGGACATCGGCGTTTGGGGCGTCGTAAGGACTCTTGTCGTGAGGGTGGTCCATCTCAGGCGGCGTGACGATGGCAATCTCCTTGGTAGCTGGCTCTTTGTCTTCCTGCCACTTGTCGACGATAGACTTGTCGTGGGGGGATGCCCTGCGCGATCGAAGGTCATCTTCGGCAATCTTGCGGGCTATGACAGATTCGCGGTAGTAGCGGTCGGCCTCCTCCTGAACGACATCTCGGTCGGCCCCCGTTCGCCGGCGCGATCCGTCATCGTCG